ATATATTACTCCAAGGTTAGCACTGTGACCTCTTCTTCTTCTTCTTCTTCTTCTTCTTCTTTTGTAGGTTTATAAAACTTTAACTTATCCAGTGGGATTTGATCTTTTAATGGATGTTTTGTGGACTAAAATAATGTCTTTTTCGCCTTATTGCAGCAACATTAGCACGGCCACCCACCAAAAGCATGCTATTTTGGGCTTACAAATAGCTGTATTCCTCACTCTCTTGCCACTCAAATTTGCTTCCATGAATACTACTGCGGCTCCATTCGAGACCCACAGTTCCATCCTGTCGAAATTTGTCATCACCACGCTTTTGTACGCCGTAGCTTGGGCAATCGAAACTAAACTTGAAACCCGCGCCAACTCATATCACCATGCTATCATAAGCAATCTCAGTCTCCTACTAGGGAGTCTTGCTACGGTTTTACTCGTACTGATACTTGTCCCTGGTCTTGGCTACTTCACCCTTCTCATTTGGACCCTCTTCCTTGTCAAGCTCATATATGACGCATACCAAAGGCTCCATCAGCTGTACAGGGCAATTTCATCTGCTTCCCATTTATTCAATGAAGTGCTTGGTCGCGGTTGTAGTCTGTGATAATCCCAGAGAGGAGTCATCTATCTTATATCAGCTATGTAGTAAAGTGAGACTCAATATTTAAAGATTCAAATTATCTTCAACCTATGAAGTCCTTGTATCTAAATAAGGAAGAAGGAAGAATTAGGTGACAAGTTTAGAGTAAGGGGTGATTGTATATTCACTTATAATTAAGCTTAATTGAATTTTTACTATAACATTGATGATATTCTTACTGAGGAAGATGCTATTTGTTTTAAAGTATTCATATTTTTTTTATATGTTTGCTTCTATTTGTGTGGTTGATGATGCTTTATAATACCAGAACAAGGCTGGAAATCCAAGCCGATGCAGCATGTGTGGATCTTAAATCTCAGTCTCCATTTTTCTATGAATTTGGATGCAAGATAGCGCTGCTGTAAGTTCAGTTTCCCATCTAGTTTCTTGAGTGTGCAGATCTCTAATTGAAGCTATTTTTAATATGTAAATAATTAAAGGAGAATTTTTCATTCATCTTACATATTTTCCCACGTGTAAATAATTAAAATATAGTATGCAAGTTTGCGTAGTATATGTACCTAGTCGAACTAGGTACTGTATATCGAATCATATATACCAACTCCAATATACTGGATTCTAATGAATTTAATTCTTGAAACAGACGGGTGCCCTACCTACACAGACCAGCTCTCAATCGTTACGTTAAAATATACTAGACCTCTTTTTGCAACACACGGGTCTCTTTCTACAACACACGAGTCTCTCTTTTTCTTTCTTCAATATGTTTTCTCTTTTCTTTTATGATTTCTACGTGATTAAACTCCCTTATGTTACAGATCTCCTCCCGTTGATTGCAACCCTAAAATATATTACGTCCCACCCCTTGAACCATTGTAAAACGCGACTTCTGGCACGTAATGTGAAGTACTGAAGCCCCAGCATTGTGCATTATTTACTGGGCCAGAGGAGGTTCCTTCTTAATTTTCAACCGAGGAAAATTGTCATTTCGTTCGACAATGTATGATCTAAAGCATAAAAATGGGTTATGGCCAAAATAATAATGAAGTGGCAAAATTGTCTTTGACTATTTAAAACATTCAGGAGCTATGTATGTTGTAATTCAATGGCTGGAGAAGGAGGAAATATTGTTTCATCAATTACCTAAGAAAAATCTGGATAAGGGACAAGCAATATTCTATATATATATATATATATATATATATATGTATGTATCAATAATAATTAAGAAAGGAAAGGAAAGGAAATCAAAAAGGAAAATGAATCATGAATCATTAGTCTTGTGTTTATATGGACTTTTTCCCAAGGGAGGAAATATTGTTTAATCAAATAATCATACATTATTATATCTTTAATTATTCATACAAGGTAAATAATTAAGAATATAAAGCTGTGGAATCTTTGATCACTTCACTGCTTAGTAATGAGATCACGGTGTGCTCTTCGTGTTATCATCATGTTATTATGATTTGTGCTTAAATATTGTAGTTGTTTTTTGAGTTAATTTTTTATTTTTATAATTAAAAAAATTCAAATTTTATTTTTTAGATATAAAAATAATATAATAATTAATGAATCAAGTATTTAGATATAACTGTTTTGTGACTTTACTCTTAATGTTTTCAAGATATTGCCTTTGTTTTTCCTCATAGGCAGACTTTAAAAACAAAAAATTAAGTATGGCCAACCACTGCCTTTGAAGTCAATATATAAGTAGAAGCTTCGATTCGTTCTTATCCAGGAAGAAAATATTAAAATATTTGATTTTAAAGTAAGCAGCTAATTTGGACTATTTGTGTTGATGTCAAAGTATTACTGTTATTCAATGCCTTGGTCAGGAGGAAATATATTTTTTGCTCGGCTAAATAAAATTTATATTATATAACTGAAGCACAATAAACATAGATACGAGACTAATTAGACTGATTTTTTCAATGGGAGGAAATATATATATATATATATATTAATAAAATCGTCAAAGAAAAACGGATATAGAGATTAACATAAGCTGTAAACTCACTTGGTATAAAATATTATTATTATTATTATATATTATAAAAGTTATGTACATTTAGTTATTTATATAAGATAATACATGTCAACGATTGCACCGCGTTACTTTATATGAATAATTAAATGTACGTAACTTTTATAATAATAATAATGTATAATTATTTGATTAAAGAATATTTCCTCCCGTGGAAAACAAATCCCGCGTTCTCTATTTAATTCGTAAGGGAAGCTTCCAATTGATTAAAAAAATTATTCCTCCCCTAGAAAAAGTCAGTCTAATTAATCTTGTATCTATGTCTATCAACGTTTTTCTTACGCCATTGATTAAAAAAAATTTTCCTCCTGTACAAAAGGTCAGTCTAAATGCCTCTCCCTCCTTCCACTACTCTCTTTTTTCTTATTATTGAAAGGATATCTTATTTAATCAGAATGAATAAACAACATAAATAACAACAATATTCATTCAAATAATTAAGTTAGACAAAAAAACAACAAGATAACTATCCTTTACTAATCTAAAACACTTCATTTTGTTGAATAATTGTTGTCATTAGTGATTTTCATATCACTAGCTTTGAATGGAGAGTATTAGGAGAGTAAAAATTATCTAGATGATACTAACTGCAAGAAAAAAAAATATACGATATTATGTTAAAAAATTAAAATTTATTCATAAATTCAAACATAAAGAAAGAACATTTCACAAATATGTTAATATCACATTATAATTATAAGATAATTGTATTTAAATAATTTAA